TAGAAGACTGGGCTCAGTGGCTCTCACCTGTAATCCCAGCACTTTGGGAGGAGTGAATCACCTGAAGTCCGGAGTGGATCACGCTGAGGCAGGTGGATCATGAGACCAGGAGTTCGAGACCAGCCCAGCCAACATGATGAAGGCCTGTGTCTACTAAAAATACAAAATTTAGCTGAGTGTGGTGGCAGGCGCCTGTAATCCCAGCTACTTAGAACGCTGAGGTGGAAGAATCAATTGAGCCCAACAGGTGGAGGTTTCAGTTAGCCAAGATTACATCACTGCACTCCAGCCTGGACGGATGACAGAGCAGAAAAAAAAAAAGGCCAGGCATGGTGACTCAAGCCTGTAATCCCAGTACTTTGGGAGCCTGAGGCAGGTGGATCATCTGAGGGCATGGGTTCAAGATTAGCCGGGACAACATGGTGAAACGCTGTCTCTACTAAAAATGTAAAAATTATCTGGATGTGGTGGCACACCTTTGTAATCCCAGCCACTCGGGAGACTGAGATGGGAGAATTGCTTGAACCCGGGAGGTGGAGGCTGCAGTGAGCCGAGATCATACCACTGCACTCCAGCCATGGCAACAGAGTGAGACCCTTGTCTCAAAAAAGAAAATAAACACATAATTATAATTAGAAACTCAGGGGTATAACAAACACATATATGGAAGTCATCCAACTTAGATTTAAAGGACAGGTACTGTGTTGTTGAGAAGGCTCCTGGAAGAGATGAGACTTGAAGTTTGATTAAGTAGTCTAACAGGATGAAAACACTGTATGGGAAGGGCTTGGGGATGAGGGTGTGACCTGATCAAGAACTCTGTATTCAAAGTGGAAATGCAGACACAAGGCAAGATTTGGCAGGCGAGACAGGAGGTGGCCAGACCAAGCTGGGTGCTGTTACACAAGGAACTGATCATTATCTGATTATTGTCCATAAGAGCAATGATTTGCCATTGAAGACAGACGGGAAAATGGAATGATCCTATGAGTGCTTAAAGAAGTTAATTCTAACCATGGGGTCAGGAATGCATTGGAAATCATTCATGAAAGGATGGTCTTTTCAATAAAATCCCCCTACCTCACACCATATCCAAAAATTAATTTGAGATAGATTATAGTCCTAGATGTGAGAGGTAAAAACAACAAAATTTCTAGAAGGAAACAAGAGAACGCCTTCGTGATTTTGGGATAAACAGTCATCTAGACAGGTACTTTAAGGCAGGCATGTTGGCTCGTCCCTGAAATCTCTACACTCCGGGAGGCTGAGGCAAGCAGATTGCTTGAGGCCAGGAGTTTGAAACCAGACTAGGCAACATAGGCAAACCCACTCTCAACAAAAATACAAAAATTAGCTGGGTATGGTGGTCTGTGCCTGGGGTCCTAGCTCCTTCAGAGGCTAAGGCAGGAGGATGGCTTGAGCCTGGGAGTTTGAGCTGCGGTGAGCTTCGATCGCACCACTGCACTCCAGCCTGCCTGACAGAGTGAGATCTTGTCTCAAAACAAAACAAGTTCTTTAAAAAGTACTGATCACAAAATGAAAGATTGGCCTTCATCAACGTTGAGAAAAATGGCCTGTTCATCAAGAGACCATTAGGAGAGGATGACAAGGCAAGCCTTAGGGATACATATGCTTGCAACATATATTTTTGATAAACGACTCACGCCCAGAACTTCTACACGTCAATAAGAAAAATATAGACAACTAGGCAAAAATATATGAACACAAACACTTCACAAAACAGGATATCACCATGGTTAATGAGCACCTGAAAAAGTGATCATTAATACTCATTAAGAAAATGCAAATTAAGGCCAGTCGTGGTGGCTCACTCCTGTAATCCCAGCACTTTGGGAGGGTGAGGCAGGCAGATAAACTGAGGTAAGGAGTTTGAGATCAGCTTGGCCAACATGCTGAAATCCCCTCTCTACTAAAAATACAAAAATTAGCCAGGTGTGCTGGCATGCACATGTAATCTCAGTTACTCTGGAGGCTGAGGCAGGAGAATTGCTTGAACTCAGGAGGTGGAGGTTGCAGTGGGCTGAGACTGTACCACTGCAGTCCAGCCTGGGCAACAGAGTGAGACCCTGTCTCAAAAAAAAAAAAAGATTGAGAGGATCAATTTCTATGTTTATTCAAAGAAACTGTAAACATCAGTTCCATGGGATAATTGGGCTTGTTCCACCTAAAGAACTAAACCCTAAACCCTGAGCCTCCTTTACTGGTGGCCAAGTCATCTAGTTTTTTTTGTTTTGTTTTTGTTTTTTAGACAAAGTCTTGCTCTGTCACTCAGGCTGGAGTGCAGTGGCGTAATCTCGGGCCACTGCAGCCTCCGCCTCCCGGGTTCAAGTGATTCTCTGCCTCAGCCTCTTGAGTAGCCGGGACTACAGGTACACTCCACCATGCCTGGCTAACTTTTTTGTATTTTTAGTAGAGACAGGGTCTCACCATGTTGGCCAGGATGATCTCAATCTCCTAACCTTGTGATCCACCTGCTTCGGCCCTCACAATACTGGGATTATAGGCATGAGCCACCACACCCGGCCTCACTTGTCCAGTTTTTGTTTCACTGCTCTATCATCTGTGTGATATTGGGAATGGCTGGAAGGTGTTGGAGAGCAGGCTGGGTTTCTGCCAGGGACGTGGCCTGCGTGTGACTCAGGAATGCACCTGCATGTCTCAGCTCACCTGGAGACAGCATCAGCTGACGTTCCTGATGGCGTGGAGAGCAGGAAGGATGCTCAGGGGCTTCTATCACAGCTTTGGGATTCCTCCAGGTGATTGGCCCAAAGCCAAGCTCAGACAGAAGAGACCTGCTTTCAACCTGACAGCAGAAGCATCATCTGCAGGTTTGTGGAGTCTCCTTATGTGCAACCTTTGGAGCTGAGCAATCCTCCCACAGACAAGTTCCTAAATAAACTTGTGGGATAAACAACTGGCGTGGAGGAGGGAACTAAGGACTGGAGTAAATAAGCCACTGCACCCGGTCACAGTTTCCTTAAAAAGAATCCCAGCACTTTGGGAGGTCAAGGCGGGTGGATCACCTCAGGTCAGGAGTTCAAGACCAGCCTGGGCAACACAGTGAAACCGTGTCTACTAAAACTGTGAAAAATTAGCCGGGTGTGGTGGCGGGTGCCTGTCGTCCCAGCCACTCAGGAGACTGAGGCAGGAGGATTGCCTGAACCCGGAAGGCAGAGGTTTCAGTGAGCCAAAATCACACCACTGCACTCCAGCCTGGGCAACAGAGGAGACTCAATCTCAAAAAAAAAAAAAAAAAAAGGCTAGAATATCTCATCTTCTAAGAATGCTATTAAGATAGGATGGGGGTTGGAGGAAAGGGGGTAATGATGGACAAAGAGTACAAAATCTCAGTTAGAAAGGAGAAATGCTTTTTTGAGAACTATTGCACAGCTTGGTGAATGTAATTAACAACAGTGTAGAGTAAATTTCAAAACTGTAAAGAGATCAGGCATGGTGGTTCATGCCGGTAACCCCATCACTTTGAAAGGCCGAGGTGGGAGAATCACTTGAGCTCTGGAGTTGCAGACCAGTCTTGGCAATATGGTGTGGCTCCATCTCTATAAAACAAATTAAAAAATTACCCAGCCATGATGGCATGCAGCTCTAGTTCCAGCTACTTGAGAGGCTGAGGTGGGAAAATTTCTTGAGCTGGGAGCTTGAGTCTGCAATGAGCTGTGATCATGCCACTGCCCTTCAGCCTAGGTGACAGAGTAAGACCCTGTCCAAAAACAAACAAACAAAAGTTAAGAAAATAAATTTTAGGCCGGGCGTGGTGGCTCACACCTGTAATCCAAGCACTTTGGAGGCCAAGGCGGGTGGATCGCCTGAGGTGGGGAGTTCAAGACCAGCCTGACCAACATGGTGAAACCTCATCTTTAAAAAAATAAAAAAAAAAAGAAAATAAATTTTAAATGTCCTCACCACCAAAAAATGTAAGTATTTGAGGTGGTGGATATAGTAATTAGTTTGATTTAATTATTCCATATTGTATTCATAAGTCATAACATCATGCTGTACACCATAAATACACACATGGTCAATGTACAATAAAATAAAAAAATTTAAAGCATGGCAATGGGGAAAAAAAAAAGATTGAATGCATAAGAGGAAATGCTTCCAGAATAGTGGAGCAAGAATCTCCAAAAACCTGCTTCTCCATAAAAGCAAAGAGAACACTGACAAAAATGGTCAAAATCAGCTTCTTCAGACCTGGAAATTATCTAAAGGCTTGCAGCAATTTGAAGAGCATATGTTCAAGTAAAAGGGCTGAATCTCAGTATAAACACTGATTTTGTAGCATTTTAATTTACCCTAAAAGCATCCCTGTTTCCCAGATCCATGAAAATCTGCCAGCTTTTAACCAAGGTAGCTGTGAAAACAAGCATCCTGCCAGCTACTGAAGAGGCAGGCTGGGCTTGGAGCTCCCTAAAAGTCCCATTCCCAGAGAACTGTCGCTATTTGATTTGTCTGGCAGTTTGCTGAAAAACGTCATTCTCAAAGCTTATCTTTATTTGATCCAAGAGTTTTTCCAGTATCTGTGCAACTAGCCCTATGCCCAAGGCATTTGTCCAAAACAATCAGTGGCAATTGTTTAACATTGCAACTACCTGCTATGGTGTAATCAGTTGGGGCCAATGAGAAACTGACCAAAAATTTTTAAAAGGAATAAGTGGGAGATGAGATGTCAATAAGATATTTTGAAAAGCTCCTGCTGTGTTTCCAAGAATTCAGTGGGCTATATGTACGTGCAGGGCTGGGTGCACACCCAGGAAGACCTGAGAAGATCCTAAACTCTCACCTCTGGCTGACCTTGAAAGCCTGCACAAGAGGAAATGAAGGCTAAGGCAGAGTTGTAAGTTGCTTGGTGGAATATTAAAGACGTGCCTCAACACACACACAGTTCCTCAGCATATGGTGCAAAACTGAATGGTTCAAAGCTTTTAAAAAGGTCTCTTTTTAATTTTTTAAATAAATTTTTTAAAAATATGGAATAATTCATGAATCTGTGTGTATTCCTTGCACAAGGGTCAGATAATTTTCTCTGTATCATTTTAATTTTAGTGTATGTGCTGCCAAAGCAAGTACATGTCTAGGCAGATCTCTGTTCAATTATTAGCTGACCACTGAGATAACTAAGCAAAGTCTTCAGTTGTTGCACAGAACAAAGAACACAGATTTTACAGAATTAAGTCCAGAGAAGTCACTAAACAACCACCATCAACAACAAGCAACAACAACATCAAATCCCAGGGAGTAGGGAGAAAGGAATCTGATTTCCAGAAGTGCTATATTGTTCATTTATTTATTTATTTTTGTAGCAACAGGGTCTTCCTATGTTGCCCAGGCTGATCTCAAACTCCTGGGCTCAAACAATCCTCCTATATCAGCCTTCCAAAGTGCTGGGATTACAAGCATGAGCCACTGCACTCGGCCATGAAGTATGATGTTTGCTAGGCTAGGTATATTGAATGCATTTTGACTTATGATATTTTCAACTTAAAATGGGTTTATCAAGACATAATTCTATTTTGTAAGTTGAGGAGTATTTATATATGCATAATGGCAGTCCCCGAAGGATAGGATTAAGAAAAGGGGGAGAGAGAGATCCAAGATGGCTGATCACTAGCAGCTCGGGATTGCAGCTCCCACTGAAAGAGCAGAGAACGAGAGGACGCCACACTTTCAGATCAATTTTTGTTGCTCACACACCAGGAGATTCCCAGCGGAGGAGCCCCACCTGTCGCCAGCGTGACTCTTGAGGCCGGTGAGGCGGTTTTGCCGCTGCCTTGGTGTGGCGGTTCTTGGTGCGGAGTCAGAAAAGCACCATCAATCTTAAAGCCACTGTTTTGGCCGGAGCAGTGGGTTGCTCAGATTCTAGCGCCGGGAATCAACAAGTTGGACGTCCATTCAGAAACCCAACTATAAAGACGGTAATTATAAAGACCACAGATGGATAAATCTATAACGAAGGGAAGAAAACAGCCTAAAAAGGCTGAGAATACCCAAACTCAGAACGCCTCTCCCTCTACAGGGGATCACAGTTCCTCATCAGAAACAGAACAAGGCCTGATGGAGAAAGACTGTGTTCCATTAGCAGAAGCTGGCTTTAAAAAGTGGATGATAAGAAACTTCTGGGAATTAAAAGAACTTGTTCTAACCCAATGCAAAGAAACTAAGAACTTTGAAAAAAGGTTTGACGAAATGTTAACAAGAATACACAATTTAGAGAGGAATATAAGTGAATTAATGGAGCTGAAAAATACAACACGAGAATTTTGCGAACTATGCACAAGTTTTAACAGCCGAATTGATCAAGTAGAAGAAAAGATATCAGAGGTCGAAGACCAACTTCATGAAATAAAACAAAAAGACAAGATTAGAGAAAAAAGGATAAAAAAGAACGAGCAAAGTCTCCAAGAAATATGGGACTATGTGAAAAGACCTAATCTACGTTTGATAGGTGTACCTGAATGTGACGAAGAGAATCAATCCAAGCTGGAAAATACGCTTCAGGATATTATTCAGGAAAACTTTCCCAACCTAGCAAGGCAGGACAATATTCAACTCCAGGAAATACAGAGAACACCACAAAAATATTCCTCAAGAAGGCCAACCTCAAGGCACATAATTGCCAGATTCACCAGGGTTGAAATGAAAGAGAAAATACTGAGGGCAGCCAGAGAGAAAGGTCAGGTTACCCATAAAGGGAAGCCCATCAGACTCACAGCAGATCTCTCAGTAGAAACCCTACAAGCCAGAGGAGAGTGGGGGCCAATATTCAACATCCTTAAAGAAAAAAACTTTCAACCCAGAATTTTACATCCAGCCAAACTAAGCTTCATAAGCGAAGGAAAAATAAAATCTTTTGTGAACAAGCAAGCACTCAGAGATTTCATCACCACCAGGCCTGCTTTACAAGAGCTTTTGAAAGAACCACTACAAATAGAAAGGAACAACTAGTATCAGCCTTTCTAAAAAAATACCAAAAAATAAAGAACATCAACATATTTAAGAAATTGCATCAACTAACAGGCAAAACAGCCAGCTAACATTAAATGACAGTATCAAACACACATATATTGTTATTAATTTTAAATTTAAATTGACTAAATCCCCCAATCCAAAGACACAGACAGGCAAAAAAAGCCAAGACCCATTGGTATGCTACATCTAGATCCATCTCACATGCAAGGATACATAAAGACTCAAAACAAAGGGATGGTGAAAAATTTACCAACCAAATGGAGAGCTAAAATAAATAAATAGAAAGCAGGAGTTGCAATTTTTGCTGATAAAATAGATTTCAAAGCAATAAAGATCAAAAGAAGCAAAGAAGGATATTACATAAAGATAAAAGGATCAATGTAACAAGAAGAGCTAAAGATCCTAAACATATATGCACCCAATACAGAAATACCCAGATATATAAGACTTACAAAGAGACTTGGACCCCCACACAATAATAGCGGGAGACTTCAACATCAATATTAGATAGATCAATGAGACAGAATGTTAACATCGATATCCAGGACTTGAACTCAGATCTGGAACAAGTAGACTTAATTAACATTCATAGAACTCTCCACTTTAAATACACAAAATATACACTCTTATCAGTACTACATCACACGTATTTACAGGTTTAAATGAAATATTGGTTGGCTGCTTGTTAATTATTTTATTCCCTCATTTTTTTTTATGTCTCTATTATTAAACACAATTACAGGCATACCCAGTTTTAGACTGCATTCTAGCCCGGGCAATAAAGCAACACCCCTGTTCTCTCTCCCTCTTCCTCTTCCTCTTTCTTCCTTTCCTGTATTCTTTTTCTTTCTTTTTTTTTTTTTTTTAATTTTTTTTCTTCCAAAAAAAAAAAAAAAAAAAAAAAAGAAAAGGGGGAAAAGAATATTAGAAGAAATAGAGGGTGAAAACTTCCTGAGTTTGATTTTAAAAACATTAATCTAAATGTTTGAAAAATTTTATGAACTCCAAATAGGATAAACTAAAAAACAATTCACAACTAGGCACGTAGTAGTCAAACTGTTGAAAGTCAATGAGAATCATAAAAGCATCAAGAAAAGGGTGACTCATTACATACAATGAGTATGTAATTAGTCATAACCTTCAATAGAATTAACAGCTGAGTTACTATCAGAAAAGATGGTCATGATCCAGTTTTCCCAGCACTAATTTTTTTGCAAAGGCAATTCTTTCCCCCTCAACTTGAAACACTTGTCAAAAACATAAGGGCTTACTTCTGGACTCTTGATTCTATTCTATTGATCTAATATCTATCCTTATGCTAGTAATGCACTGTCTTGATTACTGTAGATTTTTTTTTTTTTTTTAGAGACAGGGTCTCACTATGTTGTCCAGGCTGGAGTGCAGTGGCTCTTCACAGGGGGGATCCACTACTGATCAGCACGGGAGTTTTGACCTGCTCCATTTCTGACCTGGGCCAGTTCACTGCTCCTTTGGCAACTTGGTAGTCCCCCGCTCCTGGGAGGTCACCACATTGATGCTGGACTTAATGTGGACACCTGATTGGCATAGTGCACTATAGCCCAGAACTCCTGGACTCAAGCGATTTCATTTCCCAGCCTCAGCCTCCCGAGTAGCTGGGACTACAGGCACGAGCCAACGTGCCCAGCAATTACTGTAGCTTTGTAGTAAGTTTTAAAACTGGGAAGTTGTCAGACCTCTAACTTGGTACATCTTTTTCCAGATTGTTTTAACTATGCCAAGTTTCTTAATTTTCATAGGAATTTTAGGGCCAGCTTGTCAGTTTTCATAAAACTACAGTCAGAATTTCGATAGGAATTGTGTTGACCCTGTAGATAATTTTTGAAAGAACTGGCATCTTAACAATATTAAATCCTAGGCATGGTGGCACATACCTGTAGTGCCAGGTACTTGGGAGGCTGAAATAGAAGGATCATTTGAGCTCAGAAGCTCAAGTCCACCCTGGGCAACATAGCAAGACCCTCGTCTCTAAAAACAAAAACAGCTGGGCGCGGTGGCTCACGCCTGTAATCTCAGCACTTTGGAAGGCTGAGGCAGATAGATCACCAGAAGTCAGGAGTTCGAGACCAGCCTGAACAACATGGAGGAAACCCTGTCTCTACTAAAAATACAAAAGTAACTAGGCGTGGTGGTGTATGCCTATACACCCAGCTACTCAGGAGGCTGAGGCAGGAGAATCACTTGAACCTGGGAGGCGGAGGTGGTGGTGAGCCGAAATCTCGCCCTTGTGCTCCATGGGCAACAGAGCAAAACTCCATCTCAAAAGAAAAAAAAAAAGCCAAAACCCACAATATTAAGTCTTTTTGATCCATGAATATGGAATGTCTTCCCATTTATTTAGGCCTTTGATTTCTTTCAACAATGTTGTGTGGTTTTCAGGATACACGTCTTGCAGTTTGTTTGTTTGTTTATTGATTGATTGATTGATTGATTTGAGATGGAGTCTGTCTGTCTCACAGGCTGGAGTACAGTGGCACGATAGCTCATTGCAACCTCCACCTCCTGGGTTCAATCGATTCTCGTGCCTCAGCCTCCCGAGTACCTAGGATTACAGGTATGTGCCACCACATCTGGCTAATTTTTGTGTTTTCAGTAGAGAAGAGGTTTTGACATGTTGGCCAAGTTGGTCTGGAACTCCTAACCTCAGGTGATCTGCCTGCCTCAGCCTCCCAAAGTGCGGGGATGACAGGTGTGAGACACTGTGCTCGGCCCAAAATTGGCATTCTTTAAATGTTTGGTAGCATTTACCAGTGAAGGCTGTAGATAGGTCATGCTATCCTATTTCTTTCTTTCTTTTTTTTTTTTTTGAGACAGAGTCTCACTCCATCACCCTGGCTGGAGTGCAGCGGCATGATCTCTGTTCACAGCACCCTCCACCTTCCGGGTTCAAGTGATACTCTGGCCTCAATATTCTGAGTAGCTGGGACTACAGGCTCATGCCACCACTCCCAGCTATTTTTTTTGTTTGTTTGTTTTGTATTTTTAGTAGAAATGGGGTTTCCATGTTGCCCAGGCTGGTCTTGAACTCCTGGCCTCAAGTGATCTGCCGGCCTTGGCCTCCC